ACAATTTAAATAAGCACCTAGGTGACCATGATGCAGGTGCTCTGTGAACGAAACTTTGAGAAACACTGTTCTAAAATATGGCTGTCACCTTGTAGATCACTTAGTTGATCTAGTCTGAGTCATGCCTTTATGCTGTCATATATATATGATAATGTGTTGTTGGATAAGTATATGTCATGGGTAGGGATAGCTAGAAGAAAAGCAGATATTGTGAGGTCATATGAGGAAAATATAATGTTAAAATGGGGATTCTAAGTGATGGTAGTATCACAGAAGAATCCCTAAGGGAGCATTTGCAAAATTCTCCTTTTTCACCCTCTGATTCTGATGGGTGGCTCTTTATGTGTTATATGTTTCTAAAACCATAAAATAAAACACCATTGAGAACTAGGCTAGGAATAGTGCCAAATTTTTCTCTATAGTCTAGTCATATTTGTGTGAATTTTGTGGCTGGGTACAGGGTAGATCTTGATCATACTTCTTTCCAGGATAGTGGCAGTAGGGATCAGCAGAGGACAGGGCTAGCCTACAAGTTGTGGATGATACTGTTGGTAGAGTATTTGGTGTGGATAGCAAAGAGTGAGCAGAGTAAAGATCATCTTCTGAGTTAAGAAAACATGGTGTAGTGGCAAGAAGCTGTGCTTCAATCCCAAAGGTGCACAGTTTGAATCCACCAGACGCTTCACTAGAGAAGGAGGAGCAGTCTCCTCCTGTACCAGTCCGCACTGATCGACTGGGCACAGCAACAACAACAACAACAAAAGAATACATAGTGCAAGTAGTATAAGGGAGGGACTGAGGGTATGGGGCATTGCCAAGCTCCTACCAATTACTTGTTCTGGTGTGTTAGGTGTGTTAGCTGTCATTTGTGCAAGCATGTGCATATGATTGGGTGTGGTTATTAGTCGGTCTCAATTGATGCATCACCTTTCCAATCCCTCTTGAACCAGGTTCACCTTTCTGGTCAGCCTGTAATCACTGAACCTGCTGTCCCACTAGTTTTTAGCCAGATGTTTCTCCATGAATGGGAAGCTGTAAGAAACGCTAGGTTCAGATTGTTGGCAGAGAATAATGATATTATACCCTGGTCTATACTTTATATAAAGTGAAGTGACTGTGTTGGTCCTTACCCTGTTATATGTTCTTCTCATAAAGTATAGTCTATCCCAACAAAACCTTTCCTTACTAATTTACTTCATATCTTTCTCTAAATTTGATAAGCCATGGTTTAGGTATCCTACAAATGTCTTTTCCTTTTAAATATTTTCATAATATATCCAGGCTATAATCCTGTAGTATCCTGAAGCTGGGTTTACAGTGTTTCTCATAGTAGTAAGTGCTTTCTAGGAATAGAAATGTTCTTCCTTTGTAACTCCTTCATGATAACTCAGTCCTCCAGAAATTACACTCCCGGGGCTTTTAACAGGGAGTTCTACTTGCGCTGCCAACCCAAAGGCAGCCAGTTCAGACCTACCAGCTGCTCTGCAAGAGAAAAATGGGCAGCTTCCTCTCATGCAATTCACAGCCTCTAAATAACTGCTGTCAGTTCCGCTATGAGTAGGTACCACCACCACTCCCATCATGCCTTAAAAGCTGCCACCATCACCATGGCTTACAAGTGTCTGATTAGTTTCTTCTAACTGATGGTCTGAGTTTCCCACCACATATAAGAGAGAAAGGGTCCCACAGTGTCTGGCCCTTCCTATTGCACAGGTTCCAGCCCAATTTATCCTTGTACTTCAGGATGGTATTATGAATCTCCCCAAAGGTTTTCTTGTGATTTCTCCTACCTCCTCTTCTTTTCCTACCCCCCTAACTACTTTGTGTTTTGTTTTCTCCTACCTACTTCTTTTTTCCCCTTCTACCTTTCCTTGATTTCTCCCTGAGCCACATCATCACACTCCAGAATAGGTTTGTGCTCAACATTTAGTAACCTCTCTTGATTTTCCCTTGAATTTCTATTTATAAACTTGCCCTACCAATTGTCATATAAGGAAAATGAGTATTTATTCGAGGGTGTTTCTACTTAAGAAAGTTTATGTAGGTGATGGTTCTGCAAGCATGTTTCTTCTGTCTAAATGCTTACAGGTTCCATATTTTCTGGAATTTTAATGCATTTCAATAGGGCTTTTGGCTTGCTTGTACTACTGCTTCTAAGGTAATATTTGGTTGTTTCTTAGGTGCTATTAAATATACAAAAAGCTCTAGATTTCAGGTATGAACAGCTACATAGGGATGAATGACAAGTGGATAAAATGTGTGATAGAACAGGGAAAAGAGAAACTCTGGTGACATAGTCCATAGTGTGTTGTACTACTAGCCCCAAATAGGAAAAGAGCAAAGTGATGGATGTTTTGGGGTATCTGTGATAAGGCCGAAACTCTGGTGGCATACTCGGTAGTGTGGTGTTCTGTTAACTAAAAAAGCAGTGGTTTGAATCCCCCAGTTGCTCCTAGGGGAAAAGTGGACAGTCTACTCCTGTTCAGATTTACAGCACCAGAGACCTGATAGAGGGCAGGCAGAATCAGAACTGATGTCTTGGAAGTGACTAAGAAACAAATAGAATTAACTAAACAGGTGATGTTCTTCTTCGTGGACTAACTGGCCTTGTTTTTGCTCTTGTGCACACTTCTGCAAGTAGTGTATACACTCCTGGGACTGGAGGTGTAAAGGAAGAACAGATTTTGGCTTTGGTCCTTTTGCAGTTTGTTCCATGGGACCACAAAGACTTCAGATTTTCTCTTGTTCTTCTAGCGGGCTTTTGTGCCTGGTTGTGTATTGGGTACCTCAAGCCATCCTTATGTTGACTTTCCTTTACACCAAAGATAACCAAAGTAATTTCTATTTCCTGCCATCTACTGAACCTAACAGTAGGGGAAATCAGAATTTGGATGCCTTTTTAGAAATCCTGAAACTTCATCACGAACAGTAAAAGGCTCACTTGAGGGTTTTGGGAAATGGCTGTGTTGTTGACATGCCAGATTCTTTTGGGGTTGTTATACTCTAGAGGGGAAGCAACGTGATTTAATCCTGGTGATTTGGCATTCTGCAGAAGACTGTGCTAACCCAGCTGTCTGCCCACCACAGCAGCCCACAGAACACCTCTTCCTGGAGTCAGAATGCTGCTGCAGAGGACTTCTGGCCTGAGGAAAGGATTGGAAAAGAATGCTGCCAGTCACTGACAGTTTGGGATGCAACTCCCTCAAAAAGCATGCTGATTTCTCTAACTCAGCAGTCAGCCCAGCTGGCTTTTGCTCCCACAGTAGAAGGTCTCAGGTGAGTACAATTTAGAGTCAGTCAGCTCCTGTCTCCTACTGGGAATGTACATGGTGTTGCCAAGCCAGGGTATTGGGGTATGAGAGAAAGTGTGTTGGTGGGTTAGCAGAAGGGTATTTCTGTCTACTTGAACCCCTTTATAGGTCAACGTAAAGCAAACCTACCTTGACTGTAAATCCCTAGAATAATGCTAAGTGTTTGCTAAGGTTTTCTTGAAAATGTTTCCTGTTTTTCTTATTGTTCTAATTTTTATGATGCCATCCATAGGACGTTGTGCTGCTAACCCAAAGGTTATGCCTCTCTGGGGGTTCAAACCCACCAGCGTCTCCATAGGAGATATTATGAGTGGTCTCCTCCTGTGCCGTTTACAGCCTCAGAAACCCAATGGAGGGTCAGCTGTGAGTCTATTCTGACTCAATAGCAGTGGATTTTTTTGTTTTCAACCTTTTACAAAGTTCCATTCCCAGAAAGCAGAATGAAAAGCCTGCTGCTAAGAAAATAGTTTTACACACAGAATTCCAATGGGAGAGAGAAAGATATAGGGAGGAAGGGGAGCAAGAAAGAGATTGAGAGGCGGGTAAACAGTGGCAATAACAAGACCACGGTGGGTCATTTCCCCTTATTGCCAACATTTGTAACTGGCATCTTTTTGGTATCATCAGAATAGTTAATTATACCCACTCCTGATCTGAAGATAGAATTTTTAAATTTTAGTATGAGTAGGACTGGAAATAAGATAAAAAATAGATGGGACCCAGGGACTGAGCTGAATTTTCCTCCCTCTCATCTTTTCTACACATAAGCCATTGCTTCAGTATTAACCTTTACAGAATATGGGACTGAGAAACTGGAAAACCTAAATCCCAAGGATGGCTTGCTTTGAGTGCAAAATAGTAGTAAAAGCAGCCTGAAGGAGGGAAAACAGGGAAGGAGAGCTCTTACATATAAGAATAGGAGAAACTGTGTGGAGGGCATGGGTTATTTTTTGCAGGTTTTCTTTGCTAACATAAAACACACTCCTGCTTGTGGTTACAAAGGCCAGAAGTCTTTGGGTGAGGAACTTCTCCTAGATGATTCCTCTTTTGTTGGTTCCCCTGGTGATATCACCCAATCTAAGATTCTTTTTTTTTTTGCCTATGGACATGCCCTAATTTCTTTAAGAATGCTTCTAGCAGCTGTGGGCTGTGATATGTAGGAATATAAGAAACAAGAGAATGAGGGAGAAAAGCAAACAGCAAACAAAGGCTTTAGCAAGGGCAAAGAAGGTCCAAGAAGTGGAAGAAATGTGAAGGGGCCTATAAGAAGGAAATTAGGAGTAAAGATTTGTGAGGAAGTAAATGAGGAGAAATGGTGGTGGCCAAAAGGGAGGCATGTCCAAGATTCAGAAACCAAATTGCCCAGTCCACTCTTTCCTTCTGGAACTACCAAGATACTTTAGGCAGTTACACTCACTTCTAGAAAAAAGGGTTGTTTGCTAGCCTGTTAAAATACTCAATTTAGCGACCAAAGATGGACTTCATGCTCTTTCCCAGTTACCAGCTCCTGCCTCTCTGATACAAGGCCTGGCTAGGAGAAGACAGGCTAGGTTCGGTGCCTGGAGGATCAATCACCAGACATATGTATGGCAAGGAATTAAAGCCATTTGAGCTTCATAGTTAGGTGGTTTAAAGATACTCTTAAAATAGGGGTGAGGAGTGACACAAAGAGGAGAAAAAACACTTGTTTGTTGGAAGAGTTTTTCTTTTTTTTTCTGTATTTTTGTACCAAGTTTATGTTTTTCTTTAGTTCATTCCTCTGGTCTCAATCTGTCTTTCCATCTCGCTCTTTTGCGCATGGGGTGCGCTCTCGCGCTTATTTTTTTGGTTGTATGTGTTTCAGTTTTTGTTTTTTTTTTTTTTCTAAGAACTTTGGATTTGCCGTTGGTGGGCAGTGCTGGTCCCAGAGGCTGAAAGCCCTCCACTTGGCAGAACTGGGACAAGAAGCGGGCCCACGGCTGCTGAGAGGATCTCTGTGTTTAAAGCCTTTGAGAATAAGTTACTGCAGTTCCCAGGGTGCAGGGTAGGGTTGGCAGAGGGATTCCTGACGGCGGCGGCTTCCCTTAAAGTCCAGGCCGCAGGGTCTCCTCATTGAGAAGGGGTTGAGTGAGCTGGGTACACTGCTTCCCCTGCCAACCTCAAGTTTGGTTAGTTTGGTGGGCTCCCTGCCCATCCCAGGCTCCAACTTTGGGAGTCACTGGGTATTTGGAAAGTTCGTGAGCGGTGTGGTGCTCTAGACAAGGGGGAAGGGCGGGGGGAGTGGCATGGTCTCTTCTTTGCCCCTTTGTCTTGGGTTTTCTTTTGCCTTCTCTCTTTTGGTGTTTCTCAGTCAGTAGAACTGCATGGGCTAACATATGTGTGCGCATTCACACCCGTGTTTACAGGCGATATGGGAGTGCTGGGAATTCAGTGGAGAAAGGTTGAAGGAAGGTGGAATAGATGTGTGGTGGGCAGGGGACACATGTATGAATAACTGGGATGACAAGATGGGTGTGTCTAAAAAGACCTGGGGGCAAGGGGTGTATCTGCAAGGAGGATTTGGATTAGAGTGGCTGTGGGGGCAGGGGAGGAGGCAGGACTCTGCTGGAGGTGGGGTGCGTTGAGCCCACTGAGAGTGGGAATTGAAAGGTTCCCATGAGGTGGGCGGAGCCAAGGGTTGGGGTGAGGGATTTGAACTCCCACCAAACACCCTTTGGGTAGAGAGGGAGCCCTGAAGCCCTCCACTCTGTCCCCATCTTGGTTTATCTGTTTATAAAGCTAGAAGTGTAGAGGTAGTAGTAGTTTTTGGGTTGGAGTCCGTGTGAGGTAATCTTGCTTCCTCTTTGGCAAAAGCCACAGCAGCTGTGGCAGCAGTGGCAGCGTTGGTGACAGTGATGGTGGGAGGGCCCCCTGGGGCTGGGGCTGCCTTGCGCCTGTGAGCCGAGGAGCGCAGGTGGGAGGCCAGGGCTTCACGCCCACTCAGCAGCACCTCACACGCCAGGCAGTGGTAGGTACAGACGGGCACCCGCAGCGGCGGGGGTATAGAACCCCCTGGCCCCCGTCCAAAGAAGCAGAAGGATCTTTGGTGGGCAATGGCGGGTGCCTCCCCATCAAATGCCATCTTGCACTGGCGGCACAGGTAGCGGTGGGTCACGTCCACGGTGGAGATGCCAGCGCTGCCTATCAGCAGCTCGTCGGTCTCACCGGCCTCCCCCTCCCCTGGAGCGGGCAGTTCAGGTGGCTTTGGAGGAGCTGTGGCTGTGGGCTCAGGGGCCTGGGGTGGTGGCTGGAGGAGGGCATTGGGGAGTAGCCCAATGAGGGTCTGAGGTATCACGGGGTTCATGGGAAATAGCCCCTTCTTCATACCGTAGAGCTGTTGGAAGTAAGCCCCCTGCAGCTGGGGGCCAAAGACAGCTGGCGGTGCTGCTCCCCCTGCAGGAGGAAGTGGGAAGGGCAGGAACTGGCCCCCCAGCAGAGCTGGGACAGTAGCTTTCAATGCTTTGAGGTTCTTGAGGGCGTCAGTGGAGGAATTGGTGGGAGTTGTGACTGGCTTTCGCTCACCAGAGACCTTGTCCCCTGAGGGTTCCGTTGGCAGGCCTGGGACAGGGTCAGTGGTGCCTGCTGTGGAGGTGTTGGTTTGCTCAGGCACAGGTCTTTGAGGTAAGGAGCGGCCTGGGCCAGCATTCTGGACCACTGTGGTAGCAGGCAGGACTGAAGGGGCGAGGCCAAGGAGGCCTGAGGAGGCTGCAGGGCCTAGGAATACGAAAAGACATGATAGATTAGCTACTCTGTTCTACTTGTGCTAGATCTGTGTTCATTCATTTCCACCACCTGACTTCTACTTCCCTTCCCCACTACCTCCGTCTTCCAAGACCCTGAAGCAAAGGTAGCCCTCTGGAGAAGGTTGCAGATGAAAAGCCAAGAGACCTGCCCTTGAAGTTCAACTTCTCCCAACTTCCCAACTCACCTGAATTGAAAGGAGCTAAGCTGCCCAGTGGGGGCTGGGTCAAAGCTGAGCCAGACAAGAGGACGGGGGCCAGGCGAGGCAAGGTTGGGGCAGCTCCAAGGGGTACAGAAGTAGGTGTGGTGGTTGGTGGGGCCTTCGTTGCTGAGGGCGCCTCAGGTGCCGGGGCTAAGTCATAGCACTTGTTTTCACTCTTTAGCTGTGCCCGGACTGCCTCCTTGAGCTTGGCCAGGTGCTGGCGGGAAAAGAGATGGCCTCGGCAGGAGACATAGAAATCGTATTTGACATCACAGTAGGGGCAGTCAGTGCGCTGGGCTCCCAAAGGGCCCTCAGTGCTGCTCCCAGGACCCCCAGCTGCTGCCCCCTGCAGTTTGGCCTTCTTCTCCTTGGCACGAGCATTCTGGAACCAGACCTGGATGACTCTCTTGGGCAGCCCAATCTCCTCGCCCAGCACTTCACATTCCTGCATGGTGGGGGTGCGGTAGGCTTCATAGCAGGCCTTCATGATCTTCAACTGCAAGCTGCTCATTTGGGTCCTGTAGCGCCGTTGCCCCATTCCATCAGGAACCCCAGTCCCACCTCCTGCTCCTCCATTGGTCCCTCCAGCCAAAGGAGACTCTGGTTCAGCCAGGCTAGAAGCTGATGAATCGCTTAGGTCCCCTGCAGAGGGACTGCAAGCCTCACTCTCTGGAGAAGCTTTAGACAGTTCCTCTGGGCCTTCATCTTCACTGGGTGGAGGAGGAGGTGGAAGAGGTAGAGGTGGCTCTGGTGTTGGAGTGGTGGCTTCTTTCCCTGGTGGTAGGAAAGGCAGGGGCCCAGCAGCAGTGACTGGGGGGTATGGAAAAGCAGGTACTTCCCTCTTTGGAGTCTCCTTCCCAACCCCATCATCTACTTTGCCCAACAAGAGATTGAATTTGGGGAATGGTGCTGGAGTGGATGTGACAGGGGGTTTGATTGCAGGACTGGGAAGCCCCCCAGGGGTGCTTCGAAACTGGCCTTTTCTCTCCCGGGCCCTGGTGTTCTGGAACCAGACCTGTACCACTCGCTTTTTGAGCCCCACCTCCTCTGAGATGCAGTCAAGCATCTTGCGTGTTGGGTTGGAGTCCTGCATGTACCAACGGTATAGGATTTCCAGCTGCTCAGGCAGGATGGTTGTGCGGAGACGCTTGTCCCTGGGTGGCTCGCCCTCCCCTCCGCCTCCCACTTCACTGCCCGTTGGAGACAGGCTGCCGTCTTCATGCTTTCGTTTGAGGGGTGGCCCTGGCACTGATGGAGTGCCTGGCACCAGAGGATTACGCTCCCCAAACACAAGTAAGGGCAGGTCCATCAGGTGTGGGGGAGCACTGGGCTGTACAGGTGGCAGGAAATGTAGTCTTCGGTGACTGGTCAGGAGGTCCTGACTGGGGAAGGACATGCTGCACTGGTCACAGGTATGGGCTGGAGCTGGGGAGGGAGAGGCCGGAGCCTTCCCTTCAGGCTCTCTGTCTTCTGGCTTGGTTGCCTCAGCTTGGCTCAGCTCCTCACTGTCTGGAGGCTCTGGTGACAGACCCTCGGGCCCTGCTGAGGGTTCAAGGCCTTGTTCCTCTTCTGCTTCTTCCTCTTCTACTACCTCTTCTTCCTCCTCCTCCCCTCTCTCTGCCTCTTCTTCCTCCTCTTCAGGGGGCTGATCATCATAGCATTTCTTGAGGTGTCGCACTAACTCAAAAACACAGGAGAAGGTCGTATGGCAGCGCCTACAACCAGAGGTCCCCCCAGTTCCTCCTCCAGTTGGCATAGGCCCACCCTCACTAGCGTTTTTCCGTGCTTTCTGGCGGGCATTCTGGAACCAAACTACCACCACACGGCTAGCTAGGCCCAAGAGACTTGCAAGCCGCTCCACTTCTCCATCCTTGGGGTAAGCACTGGTCTCAAAGAAAGACTGCAAGGCTTGGGTCTGGAACTCTGTGAACTTGGTTCTGGAGAATCGTCGGCCTGCAGGCACCAGGGGAGGGAAATTTCCTCTGGAGGTTTCTTCCTCCTCTGGGGGCCAGCGACCTCCTGCTCGGCTTCGCTCCTCAGGGGGGCAAGTTCCCCCTGCTTCAGGTTCTGGGACCAAGAAGGATGGACCCAGCTGGGGAGTAGATGAATCAAGAGTCCCATCAGGAGGCTTGGGGGGCTCAGTAGGAGGTGGGTATAGACTATCATAACTCTTTCGAAACTGAGCTGCATAACGACTCAAGGCCTCAAAGGGCAGAAAGCGGCGGTGGACATGTTCCTCGTGGGTCTTGAGGATGAGCATATTGGAGAAGAGTTTCCCACAGGCCCCGCAGGCCAGCTTGTCCCCACCCCCCAGGGCCTCTGGAGGAGGTGGAGCTGGGGGAGGGGGCACAGCCTGCTTTCCTTCATTGTATTGGATCACCAGCTCAAAGCCAAAGTTTTCCAGAAGAGCTTTGGCTGCGGTGCGGGCTGCCTCATTGGGTGTTGGGTGGGATGGTGAGGAAGGCCCTATCTCATTCCCCTCTTCAGTCATAGGGGGCCGCTCCCACTCCTGCTCTGCAGGCTCAGCCTTGGAGGGTGGGGGTGGGGGTGGAGGGGTGGCAGCTGGCAGGGATAGCATAGGTGCAGGCCCAGCCAGTGCTAGCTTGGGTGCCACCTTGAGGTCATGGAGGTAGAAGGGCAGGAATAGCTGTTGCTGCTGGAGCTTAAGCAGTGATTCAGGGACCAGAGGGAAGGGGGGAAGGACTGGTGGGGTAAAGAGTGGGGCTGGGAATCGGTGGAGGTCCATTGGAGGAGGTGGAGGGGACAAGAAGGGCAATCCAGATATAAAACCTCCAGAGTCAGGGACCTTCTTTTCAGTGCCCACCTCCCCCTCAGTCTCGCCTTCCTTGGGCTCTTCTTGGCCTTTCTCTGGACCCTCAGTCTTGGTGTCAGTCTTGGCCCCTCTAGAGCGAGTCTGATGTAGAACCGACCTCATGTGAATCTCCAGTGTGGAACTCTGGTTATAGGAGACTCGGCAGACTGTGCACTTAAAGGGCTTGTCTGTGGCAACAGTGGTGGTAGGTGGGGCACCAGCCTCTCCCCGGGCAGAGACAGAGGGGTCAATGGCAGCCTTCTTCATCTTATGAAGGTGGGAGACAGAATTATAATGAACCAAGAGGATATTCTTCTGTGTGAAAGACTCCTTACACACAGTGCACTTATATGGCCGGGCAGGGTCGAGAAATTTGTCCAGGGCGAAGTTGGTGGTCTTCCTATAGGTCAGAGGATGACGAGAGTCAGGGGGAACTGGCTCTGCAGGGCGAGTATCCCCAACAGTCCCCTCTTCTTCCTCAGCCATGGTGGTTGGAGCAGCCATTTCTTCAGCTTGGACATCAGGCCGGGAGATTGGTGATGGAGCTGGAGAAGGGGGTTGGTCAGGGCTTCCCATGGGCTTCTCTGGGGTTTCAGCTGCGGGTGGGGGAGGCCCAGGAAGAGGATCTGGACTGGCTTCTGGCATCAAGTTAGGGCCTTCTCCTAAGGAAGAGAGAAAGGAAATGAGAAGGAAACATTTCTTTAGTCCAGACCCTACCCACTCATTATCTAGGGTAACTGATTCTTGCTTCAATTACCTTCAGACCTTCTTGGTTCATGGAGCTCGGTTCCTGTTTATTTCCACTCTATGAAGTGAGTTCCCCATTCCTTACCTGATGCCTGGTTATTTCTAGGTGCAGGTTCTGGCCCAGGATTAGGGGGCTCTGGACCTTCCTCCATAGGGCTTAAACTGGACCCAGGCAGCACTTTGGTCAAAAAGGTCATCTCTACAGTGGTGGCCTATAAGAGAAGATATCCAATAGTTTAGTACTTCATTCCTTTCCTCCTTCAAATCCTGGTTATCTGTGCCCAGCTATGTGTCCAGTCTCCTCCTGGGACAGACTTCCCACCCAGTTTCTCTTTTCTCCCCCTCTAGATGTGAAGGCCTGTGCAATTTCTTCTATCCACCTCTTTCCTCAGGTCAAAAGTCACCCTTCCTTGAGGCCACCTGGTCTTCACAGGCCTGATGAAGGGGGTGACTCCCATGCACATGCTTCTGTTGAAAAACTCTTCTCAGGATTCCAAGTTCCTTTTAGTTTTTAAATATCTTAAATGTTACTTTTTTCACCAACACTCCTTGCTTCTTAGTCCATGCTGGCCAAATGAAAGCACTTGTCTGAACACCTGTGCCTCTTGCCCCCTCCTGTGTGACACTGGCAGAACCTCAGCAGATAGTCCTCACCCAGCCAGTACTCACCACAAGCAGCAGCTTCTCCACACACTCAGGTACCACGTTGTGAAGGTGGCTAAGGTGGAAGTGCAGGGCAGGCCGGCCCACTAGCTGCTCCTGGCATAGAGGACATCTGTACTTGGGCTGCACTGCATGCTGGGAGATTGTATGAGCTCTCACCTGGTTGGACTCTGGGTTCATGAAGCTGCAGTATGGACAGCAGTATACCTGGGGGCACAGAAGGGCAGTGACGAGATTTTAGGAATGGTGGGACCCATCATTATACTGTCCTTTGGATTCTTGAATTGCCTACTCCCTACACCATTGCCTATTCCCAAGTTCAGAAGAGCCAGACCTATCAGAAGGCACCAGGTAAGACCCATCCACACATCTTGAAAGCAGCTCCTCCCTCTTTTCCTTTGGACTGGGACAAAGCCCTGGGCTGTAGCTCACTGCCTTCTTTGACCCTCTCCCTCCATCTTGACCACTATTTACCTGTGGTCTTTCTTTGTATCTCTGCTGCTCTCTTTAGTTTTCCAGGTGACAGAATGACCATGTACCTAACTCTACCTTGATGTGTTTTCCCTTTTCTTACCTACCCCATTCTGCTTGAATTAGCTGTTTCCTTTGGGCACTTTCTAGATCCAAAGGCTCCCTCATCTCTACCCACTCTGCTTGCAAAGGTCCTGGAAGAGGGGGCTCTACCTGTCTACCCAGAAGCCACTTCATTCTCCCTCAGAGGTGCAGCAGCTCCCACTTTCTTTCTTTTCTTTCCCTTTTTAAAAAATGTAAACAAATACCACAGCTCCCCCGAGTAACCCAGGAAAAATCTGGTCTGTTCACTCTTCTCTGCTCATCCACACCCACTGTGGCTGGGGAAGCTGGAAGAGACAAGAGGCCCCTGGGTTGCTGGCTTAGATCAGGCTGGGGTATGTGTCCCTGGCACATCTCCCTGTCACCTGTGTCATAGGTCTAGGCCTTAATGTCTCCTTAAGGCTGAGTGTTAGCGAGTGGGAATGTGGGCTAGGGGGTTGGGGTACTGGCTGGGAAGAGGTACATAGAGGAAAATAAGGTATCCAGATGTTCACTTTAATTCATCATCCATGTCCTTGGTATAGACATCTGGAATAGGGCTGCTAGAGGGAACAGAAGCTGGGAAGAAGGGAACCTGAGGACAGGCTATTAATTAGTACAGAGACTTTTCAGATCTGGATTTGCCCACCTCTCATGCAGTTTAGAGAGCTGCAAGGCACAGGATTAACAGCTCAAAACCAGACTGGAAATCCCCTCAGAATCTACAGTGCCAGGCCCGAGTCCTACGGTCCAGTGGTAAGAGATTTGTGGGGATGAATCATCTGGGTTGGTACCTCTAACCTCTGGAAATCCTACAGAAAGGAGGGAGAGTGCCAGAGCAGTCCTCTAGACCCAGGGGGACCCCTGAGTCTAGCTGTCTTGCTGCTTCTAGCTAGGAGAAGGAAAGATATATATCAGCCATGTCCCTCTGAAATTTATAAAGCTCTGCACTAGTCAGAATGCCTAGTGCAAAACCAGACCCCCTTTCAGCTTGTCCCAGCTACCCCTGTTCTGACCGTAGTCTGGTTGGCACTGTCTCCCGAAGGGCCAGTCTTGTTCTCTGCCTCTTCAGAAGCTGAGGATGAAAGGAGAAGAGGTTAAGAGACTCCAATTGCCTTCACTCTTCCTTTCTCAGACACCCCCTCAAGTCCCAAGATGACCAGCTTTTTTTTAAAAAAAAAAAAAAAAGATAATTAGCTTTGTAGTACTAAGTTCCAGGCTTTGGAGAAACCACAGAGCTCTGGTCTGCAGACATGTGTAAAGGGCTGGCAGCCTCTCAGCAGGATAGCCAGATTGGGTCCTCAGACCGAAAACTGTGCCTCAGCCTTCTTGCCCTCTAATGAGCTCTTCTTTCATCAGAGTTGTGCTCTGTCAGCTCAGGAGGCTGAGCATATGGCTTTCGGCAAGGTCCCATGTGCATCAGAGAACATACAATGAATGGTTGAGGGGAGAGAAGAGAGTATAATAATGGATAACACAGATCAGATGAGCAACTCACCCAATTGTTCTGTCTTGGTCTGGGCATCTTTCTCAGGGTTGGGTGGCTCAGATACGGGGGGGCCAGAAGCCTTTCCTGTATGGGGCAGAGGTGACAGTCAGCTTAAAGGGATGATACAGCAGGGAAGGAAGGAGGTCGTAAGACAAAGACAGTGAACAAGCAGCCGGTCAAAGAAGAGATTAGGGCAGAATGGATGACTGATTGTACAGGCAGGAGAGGGTGAAAAGACCCCAAGAAGAACTACTCAGAAGGAAGGTAAGGAAAAATTACAGTGTTAGAACTGGTAGGGACTGAGAGACTGTCTTGTGCAAGTCTGGCATTCTCATTTTATGGATGAGGGAACAATTCTAGCTGTAAGCAAAAGAAATAAGATCAAGCTCATCTGGAAGCAGAGGCCCCAGAAATTTAGTGGGAGAAGCTCTAAAGAAGGCAGCTGTGGTGAGCAGGAGGCGGCAGGCCTTGCTGGGAGAGGAGATTACCACTCAAGTAAGAATTGACAGATGTGTAGGAATTTATTTTCGGTGGCAGCCTAATTAAAGTGTTAAAGTTCTTTAACTCCATTCAGCCCTGCGCCAGGATCGTTAGCTATTGATCTGGGCCCCTCCGGCACTTAACTCCAGCCAGCATATTGGCAATTCAATTAGCACCAGTCAATGCGGTCTGTTCCTCTTTCCTGCTGCTAGTGCCCTCACCCTCGCCCACCCTTGGCCTCTCCAAAACCTTGACACCCATGCCCACTTCCAACAAGCCCTTCCAAACTCTTCTCCTGCTCCCTCTGAACCAATAACCATTCTCGGTTGTTCTTAGCTTCTGCTAATACAACATCAGCTGCCTTAGGGGGACTCTAAGGCCAGCCTTAGGCTGAAGACTTCCTAGGAGATAGGAGGAGGCTGGGAAGCTTGTCAGGGGCCTCTTCCCATCACACTTTACCCATTCCATCTTACCAACAATTCACCACCTTCTTTCCACTTGTTGGTGATGCCTACAGATGCAGTTCTTTTTACCACATCTTTTCTCATCATATTCCCCAGTCCCCAGACCAGGATGCCCTCTTCTTTACCCGGAGACTGCAGCTGCCCATGACTGAAGCTGAGGATGTTCTGGAGAGCTGAGAGTCCTTCCTCGGCTGCTGGGCCGTTCTGGAGCAGCTGCAGACGCCTCTGGGCCTGAGCATCACGGTGAGCAGGCGCACGCAGATGTTGCAACACAGCCAAGCGGGAGGGGGTCTCCCATGCACACAGCAGGCAGTGGTAGAGCCCCAGCTCAGACCCGGCTTCAGCTCCTTCCATCTCCAGCAGAAACTAAAAGTACAAAAAGAGAGGAGCTCAGGCCCACAGGACACCCCTGATGTTATAATTCCTTTGCTTTCTCCAAGGGAGCCTGACTAACTGAACCTCTCTCTACCCATTCTTTCCATCCCCTACAACACTCCTTTCCCCTCCTGTGACCTTTCTGGTATTACTGCTTCTTTTTTTTTCTTCTAGTCTTTCTTTCCATTGATCCTAGAATGTGAATGAAGTGTGGTTTCATCCTCTTCAACTTCTGTGACAGGCTGGGCTGAGCTGACATGGACCCTTCTCTCCAGCCTCTAATACCAGAAGAGCTGAGCAAATGATGAGCTTTACGTCTTCAATCTACTCTTCTTTGGCCTTTCTCCATATACTTTATTGTACTGTGTATGTATACATCCCTTTTTCATTTTTGACTCCTGGATTATTTCCATCCCTGCTCCACTCTGCATCTCTCCTCCATCCCCATCCCCTTCTTTTCTCTCCCCTTAGACCTCATTCTCACCTTATAGATCTGGCTGTTTTCTTCATGGGCTGCACCTCGGACGTGCAATTGCATCTTCTCCTTGCTATTGGACTCAAAGTCACAGATGTTGCAGCGTAGATGCAGGGGAGAGATGGCCCCATAAGGAGCTCCATCTCCCAGGGCCACTGGGGATGGGGTGCCTACAACCCCACCCCCCTCCCGCAGGTGGGCCACCAGCTGGTACTTCTGGGCATGTTTGTCTGTCTTGAGGTGAAGCTGGAAGTTGGCCTTGAGCTGGGTACTGTAGCAGCAGAGTTTGCAGCGGTGGGTGTCACCGGAGACTTCCTTCCATTCAGCTTCTGGAAGGCTGCGGCCCACACTGCAGTGGTAGAGCAACAACTCCAGGCTGTCAGTGCTAAAGGCCTGGCACACCAGACAGCGGAACACCTTCAGAGATGGGTTGTCTTCTGGGGGTGGTGATGTGGGTAGGCCATCAGGAGAGGAGCCCAGGAGCTGACTTGGAGGCAGGTGGGCATCTGGAGACAGGCTGCCAGGGGCTAAGGGACAGAGACAGATTGATGACCCAAAGAAGAAATGAGCCAAGGTGAGTTTGCTCTGGGAAATGTGGGCAGGTGTGTTAACAAGGAAGTTAGTGCTCAGGGGGCTTCATGGTTACCTCAGTAGAGAGCTGACCTCTGGGAGGAGAATAGAGTATTGGTGTGGGGAGGAAAAGAAAAGGGGAGGTGGAAGCAGAACCCCAGGGAACCTTACCGGGTGCAGGGAACTTTCGAGTAGGTGCTCCAAGATGGTGGAAACCATTGAGAAGCAGCTGGGCATCCAGGGACTTATCTGGTCTCAGTCCAGGGCCAGGCAAAGGAGTCTGAGGCTGGCCCAGGGCCTGGGGCCCAAAGTACTGGAAGAGCTCAGGAGGGTTGGCAGGGGCGGCGCCTGGTGGGGGAGGAGGGGCTGGCCCCACCAGCCCGGGTGGCAGACCCAGTGGCAGCCCCTGGTGTAGCATCAGGACATTCTGCATGTGCTTCTCGGAAGTCATGTGGATGCGAAGGTTGCGGGAGATGTTTGTCTCATAACTGCACACCTTGCACTGCCAGGATGATTTGGTTTTGGGTTCTTTGTCCCCTGCAGAGGGCGGAAGTGATACCTCTGGGGGACTGCTTTGCCCACCAGGCCCTGCCTGGAAACCCTGCAGGTTGGCTAGGTGCTTGTCAGACTGCATGTGGATGCTGAGGTTGCCCTTGGTGGTGGTGGAGTAATTGCAGACATCACAGCGGTAGGGTTTATAGCCACAGTTGTAGCTCTCTCCACGGGCTAGGCGGGGGTGAGCCCCACCAGCACTGCAGTAGCTGCAGTGGCTATTACTCTCGGGGTGCTTTTCCCGCATGTGCACGTCCAGGGTCTGCTGGTACTTATAGTGCCAATTGCACTTGGGACACTTGAGTGTCTTGCAGGAGTTTCGTGAGTGTAATAGAGACATGTGGCTGGAGAGGCTGAGGCCCTGGAAGGCTGCAGGGGCTGGTGTATAGTCATCAGCCAGGCGGTAGTGTTGTGGTGGTTCATTGGGGTCCTCAGGAGAACCCACTGGGGAAGGGAGAATGGGCCCCTCCTTGGAGGTGGGTGAGCTTTGGTTGAGTTGGGGGCAGAGCCCTCCATCCTCTTCTTGCCCCTCTGGGAACCAGTCTGGCCCTGCCTCACCTGCTGCCATTGGCAATTCTTTGGCTTGGGTTGGGCTGGGGTCCCAGGTGACTGGGGTTGTGGGTGGAGAGGGTGGGCTGAGGGCCAGGACTTCTTCAGAGGGCAGGACATGGGCCTGGACTTCTGCTTCAGGGGGTCTATCCTTAGTCTGGGCTACACTTAGCTCCTTGTTCATTGTGCTGCTATTGTTGAGGGGTATCTCAAAAGAAGGGCAGACAGGGGATTTTGGTTCCAGAAAGCTTATGAGGGCCATGCAGCCCTTGTCTCCCTCCTGGAGCACAGCTGAACTGCCTGGTAGGCCCTGTTGTTGAACAGGAGTTAGCTTTACCCCATGAGACTCTGTATGGGCTATGAAGGCCAGAGGCCTGCTGAAACCCAGGCGGCACAGAAGGCAGAGCCAGAAGAGTGCCCTGTGGTCTCCCCCCTTGCTCCCTGTGAGGCCATCTTTGGGATCTCTGGGTAGGTTTGGAGCCAGCTGGTAGCTACAGAAAGCTCCATCCCTTCCCTCACAGGTGGCCGAAGGTGGCGCTGAGGTATCATGGGACACAATTTGGTCAGAAGAGCTAAAGCCTTGGATTGGGTCAAAGCCATGTTGAATGTGAAGGGCAATGAGGTGTGTTGGGGGTGGGTGGGCAAGGAAGGTCAGGCTGGGCTCTTCCTTGAAGCCTGCCTCACCCCAGGGAAAGCCCTTTGGTAACAGTTCACGGCTGCCTGGCAGGGACAGCTTAGCCACTAGGTAGGCCTCACCGCCAGCTGTGAAGAATAAGTGGTTGTTTAGGTCCATGGGAGGGGGCTCTTCTCCATCTTCCTCTTTTTCCTTTTCTTCTTTCACCCCCAGATCCTTTGGTGGGACGAGACCACAGCCAGGCTCCTGTTGGGGCTCCCCCATCTCCTTTGGTGGGATGAGGCCACAGCCTGACTCCAGGGGTTGCCCCCCTGGCTCTGAGGGCCTCATGCTCTCAGAGGGAGAGGGAGCGACAGGGGGATCTTTGGTGATAGGATCAGAGGGGGTGTGGGAGGAGGAGGTGTCCAGAGGTGGAGACAGGACATTGTGCCCAGGGGATGGCGCGGTGCCAGAGTGAGTAGACGAGCTAAGAGTGGCCATGATAGACGGAGCAGTGCTGGGGGTTCATTTCAGCTTGACAGCCAGTACCCTGAAGGGAGAAAAAGGAAAATCAGTGTTATGAGTTTGCAAGGGAGACATGACCAGGCATCTGAATTAGTTGACTGGACACTTCAGCCTTGCCCTCTTCCCTACACACCAGAGCCACATACCCATTTGCCAACTGGACATCTACATTTCTTGCCGACCTTAAGACATCCAAAGACAGACTTCTCAGAGCTTATTCCTCCTCATCTTTTCTATCTCAACAGTTGGCAACTTTTCTTTTGCCTTTACCTCATACCCAGTTCAGCTACATCTATACCAGGTGTCCAGTGCTTCTCCTCCCCTCCTCTGCTTCTCTACCTGTCTTCTGGACCATGCCAGTATCATCTCTTTCCTGAATTAAAGCAATAGACTCCAAACTAACCACCAGTTTCCCCTACAACCTATTCTCTTACACAAAAGCCAAAATAATCTTTTATTTCATTCTCAATTATGAAAAATGCCAAACCTGTACAGAAATAGACCAGCCAGGAAAACAAACCCAACTTTTATGCCAAAGCCCAGCTTCAGTAATCATCAGTCAGCTCATGGCCAGTCTTGTTTCCTCTGTATCCTCTTTCACCATCACTACCACCATTCCCTCTACTGTTTGATGCACCTGCCCTTTTTATTGTGGTTTGAGTGAAAACTTACAAAGCAAACTGGTTTCAACTATTCATACACATTTTGTTTTAAAGCATTTTCTGAGCTTTGTTGTTGTTGGGTGTTAGCAAGTTGAGTCCGACTCATGGCAACTCAGTACATCAGACCAACTCTTTGGCCAATCCTGTGCTACCCTCATAACCTCTGCTGTGCTCAAGCCCATTGGTGCAAAAACTGGGTCAATCCATCTGGTTAAGGATCTTCCTTTTCTGAACTTTCCTCTGGATAAATGCTGTACTTTTGATTTTATATGACTGATGATTCTGTCTCATATGTTTTGAAGCAAATTTCAGGCATCATAGAAAATCATCGTTTTGAAACATAAATTGTACTATATTCTGCTTAAAACTTATTAATGATATTTCACTGCATTATGAGTAAAATCCAAACTCATTTCCAAGATCTACAAAAGACCCCTCAGCTCCAGGGTCCGCCCACTTCAGTCACAGGGCTGTCCACTGCCTTTCTGATCCTTAAGCACCCCAACTTCACTCCTATCTTAGGGCATTTGCAGTATCTGTTTTCTCACCCTGGAATGCTCTTTCTCCCAGTGGAAATCTCTGCATTATTTGTCCCTTGTCATTCAGGTCTTTTCTTAAATTTTGCCTCGTCAACAGATCTTCTTTCTCTGTTGTAAAATGGCCCTTGGGATACTTTCTTCATAAACTTACTACTACCTGATATTTCCTAGTTTGTTGTTTTTAGCTGCTCTCAAGTAGGATCCAGGCTAATGGTGACTCCATTTCCTGGTTTACTGATTTACTTATCTTCCTAAGGAAAGACTCAATCTGCTTTATTTATTATTTTATCATTAGCACCAAAAACAATGCCTGCCACATATTCAATAAATGTCTGCTGAATGATCTAAATCTGAGAAAGACCCTAAGATTTTCCATGTTTTCAAGAAGATGCAAATTCCCTAAGTTCAGGTTCTCTTGCCTTAGCTAGCTATCACTGGCACGTGCCTTCCAGACCCATCTCTGGTCACAAGCATGTGGAATAGATGAAGGCTTCTCTGGCCAGCTGAAAGACAGCAGTTCATATGTGATCTGGTGGCTTAATGGTAAAAAGTTGGCCTGCCAGCCCCAATGCGCATGGTTCGAATTTACTACTCCTCTGCAGGAGAAAGTAGCCAGTTTCCTCCCATGCAATTTACTGTCTCTGGAACCCGCTGGAGGGTCAGCTATAAGTCAGTTCCGACTCAAGAGTATATAACAACATAATTCCAAACACATTTTAAAAATTAGTAACAGTAATATTACTAAAAGCTGTTGAGGTCCATATATCCTGATCCTGGCATTGTACTAAATGTGCTAAATTATCTGTCTCAAAATTAACTGTCTCATTTAATCTTACTGCATCCCTATTTACAGATGAGGAAACCAAGAAACAGAGAAGTTGACTAAGCTGCTGGTGATAACACAGCTCCAGGATAGTGAGGCTAGAAATGAACTGACTCAGGACTTTTGATGGACTTATACCCCAACACTGGCCCAGTCTCCTCTGTCCCTCAGGTACATCACAGACAAGAACTGCCAAAAGACTTGAAATCAGCAATCCTGGGCTGCTTCCAGCTGACTGGAAGCACACCCCAAAGTTCCCATGTGGCTCTCAACTTTATCTGATCTTCCTCAAACTCACCAATTCTGCAGGCCTACCACAAAACCCTTCCAGATTTTCTGAGTGGCTCATCTATATTTTGTCTAGTTCTTAATAGCAGTAGATCTCTAATAACTGAAGATTTAGTGCTCTGGCCAGAGTATTTCAGAGAGGCTGAGGCAGGTGATGAGTAGGGAGGCCTCTCTCCTTCCTTGTTATGTGCCATCAAGACTCCTAGCCCTATGAACAAAGGGTTCTGAAACTTGCCCTATTATAAGCCAACCTCGCAATTTCTGACATACTTGAACCCATTGCTAGAGTCGATGCCAATCCATCTCGTTGAGGGTCTTCTCTTGCGTTGACTCTCCACCTTTCCAAGCATGATGCCCTTCTCCAAGGTCTAGCCCCTCCTCACAACATGCCTAGAGTAGGTGACATGGAGTATCACCATTCTTTCCTCTAAGGTGTATTCCAGTTTCACTTTCTCTGGGACAGATCCATTTGTTCTCTTGCCAGTCCATGGAAGATTCAATACTCTAGGCCACCTCTAACCCTCACCAGATTCCTTGACTTGAGATGAGTCTCAGGTCTGGCCCTATCCAGCCTGCAAGTTCCCATTCCAGTTTCCCTCTTTCTCCTTGGGGTCTAGCCAGGCATGAAGTCAGAGCCATTAAAGAGCAGAGTGGGGCTGGATTAGCATGCTAATGAAAATGCAAATTAGTACTTCGGAAAAGGAAGAGGGGTTGCCGGTGTGGAGGAGTTTGTGGGGTAAGGGAGTTAGAGAACCAAAAAGGAAGTGAAGGAATTAGATTGAGGGAACTCTAATCCTAGATAACCAGAGAAAAGAAGCCTATAAGTTGTGAGAGAAAAGGTCTGACCTTTCCAACAGTATCCTCCAATAGGCGGGGAATGGGCTGGCAGGTAAGGGTCTGACATTTCCCTGTCACTCCCACAATGGCTGATCACTGTCCCACCTGGTGTTCAGAACTGAGGCCTGAGCAAAAGGGCCCTTTTTGGTCCCTTTCACTGACCACTCTTTCCTGGCTCCCAACTCATAACTTTAGATAAAACTTGAGAGCAGGACAAGATACACCTAACCTCAATCTTGCAGGACCTTGTAGACCTCTTGCCACAGCTTCTACTTGCCAGAACTGGAACCAAAACGGTATGGCTTTTGGCTAGCTGATGGGTGAGACTCAGTTTGGCCAAGGGTAGGCTGGAAGCTGTTTAAAATTGCAAATCTCTTCCCCATATCCCAAACTACCCCTCCTTCTCCTCAGGAAAGAATTTCAATTGCAAATTTATCTCTGCCTCAGTGCACCCCTCCCCACCCCCACTTACTGCTACCAACTTCCCCCTCCCCCTTTCCTCTTCATAGTACTTCTCCCATCACCCAGTATTTATTGCAAACCTTAGGCTGCAGCAGTTTTTTTCCACTTTTTTCTCTCTTTCCATCTCCTTCCTATATATTTTCGTCCTTCCTCTCTGAATTTCTGTGTCTCTTTCTTTGCCCTTCCGACCATGAACTCCATTTTCCTCTTTCTAGAATGATGCAGAAAAAGATAACAGGACTAAAAGCCACCCCATCTCCCACCCAGGCTAAGATTCTTCTTCTACCTCAAACCATCACTTACTCTTCCCTTTAGTTTCTAGCTTTTCTCCAAGGCATCTGCCCTTCTTGGGGCTCATCTTAGGTTTGGGTGCAGGGAAAGGCAAATACTCAGCTACTCCTGCCTCTGGAGGGAAGGAAGGGCTTATCAGGTGTAGGATGAGGATGGGGAGGCAAGCAAAAGGAAAGACCTGAGTGGAGGCGATGGCTGGGGGGCCTATAACGAAGAGAGGGGTTGGGGGAGACAGAGAAGGCAGTGGCAAGAGTGTGATTAGAGAGGAGATTGATGTGAAGGGGCGCCACAGACGGCAGAGAGAGTCAATAAAATGAGAGGATCACATTAGAGGCGACAGAGAGAGCTTTAAATTACAAGGCTGCTGCCACGGAGGGGGATGGGAAGAAAGAGATACAGAGCCCAGAAAGAGAGGGGAGTTTTGAGGGTGTAGTCATCCTAAGATGAAGCCTCAGCTCCAAAATGGCCCTTAGTCCGCACAGCTCCCTGGGTGCCTCTATTTCATTCCCTTAGAAGGGAAAGGGAAACTGAAGAAAGCAATGGAGAAATCAAACATGTCCTTTTTTAAAAAAAAAACAACAAACGAACAACAACACTCTCCTCTTCCTTCCAGGCCTGAGAAAGGGAGTCCTACTTTATTCCACGAAGGAGTTGTTGCCCCACAAACAAATATTGACTCATAATCGCTGAACTGTAAACATTCTTCCATGGGAAGTGAGGAAAATAATTTAAAAACAAACCCAAACCTGTTGCAGATGAGTTGATTCCAACTCACGATGGCTCTAGGACAGGGTAAAATTGACCCATAAAGTTTCCAAGGCTGTCAGCTTTATAGAACTAGTTTGCCACATCTTTGCCTCACAGAGCAGGTGGTGGGTTCACATCACTAGTTCACAGCCAGGCTTAACTACTGTATCATGGAGGCTCCGAGTTAAGCAGAAAGGCACCTGCAAATAGCTGGTCAAGAATTCCTTCGTGATACTTGCTCCCCTGTTCAGTGGCAGAGCCATGGTACTTAGGAAGATATCAGAGCTATAGACATGAATACAGGTACTAGGACCCAGAAACTGACAAAGAAAGGTGCTTGGAGTGAAAGGGAAAGGCTCAGCTATGAGGCTGCAGA